TTGTGCAATGCGCGTGAAGGGTTGAAGTCGACTTCATGAAGGGTTCCACGACCCTCGTTGTAATGTTATGAAATGCAGCTCCAGGAAGTGCTTCTCTAACGAAAAAAAGATTTACGACGTTGTTAATCATTTCCATTCTTGTTTGTATCAAACAGTATTCAGTAAAGCCGGCCACAGGCAGTTACGGGTTCTGTAGTTTAGGTATATATGGGACAGGTATGTCAAGCTAATGTCGGGCAGGCCCCTGCTAGACAGGCTTTCTCTCGGTGCCAGGTTTGTAAGAGTTTGTGCATTTGGCAATGCTAGCTATCTGATTTCATTTTATAGAATAATATTTCAATGAAAATATTCAGGACTCAAAGTTTCTACCATCGTCACTACCGTCAATAAAGTCTGCTCGTCAGGTCTCAAGTCCATCATGCTTGCTGCGCAGCAAATTCAGACCGGCCAGCAAAACGTGAGAGGAATAAACGGTTATTCCAATAAGGGGGAGAGGCATGTGGAAATATAGTTTGTGCGCTACAGTCTTTCCATTTTTTGCAGAAGTGAGGTGGGAGCAATGTTTCGCTTCTGTCCAGTATCCACCTGAAGCTTCTCTGCCAAAACTTTAAATTGTTGTAGGTGGCACAAACTGTCGTGCCACCTTTACTATATATTATAGTAGTATAGTGATATTCGATGAGTTCTCCTCAGACGAAGAGTTTCGCGTCGAAGGTTGCTTGCAATGAATTTTCTTACGCGCTTTTGCAACTTATTGGATTTTCGATCTGTCAGAGGTCTCAAGGCTTTATGAGTAGGAACATCGCAGATTTTTAGTATTTTACACATGTCACTGTTTCTTTCGTTTCTTGGCCCAATCTAGACAGCTATATTCAGGATGGAATAGTGAAGGATGGTCTCACAGACGCTTACGATTTATGTCATATGGGAAACTGTGGAGAGAAAACTGCGAAGGAATTAGAAATCTCTAGAGATGCTCAGGATCAGTATGCCATTGGAAGTTACAAGAAATCTGCAGCGGCCTGGAGCGTATGTTGATCTTACCGACTATTATGGTTGAAAACGGCTCTCCAAGTTCATTTCAACAGGGCGGAATCATGTCAGCTGAGGTAGTGCCTGTAACTGTGAAGAGTCGCAAAGGAGATGTCATTGTAGACTCAGATGAAGAGTATAAAAAGGTCGATTTTGATAAGCTGAAGAAGCTAAAAACTGTCTTCAAGAAAGGTGAGTGTATTCACCCCAATGTTCTCTTTCCTTAATACTTTTTTTTGGAATAAGCTGTATATCAATATTTGTTAAGATGGAACAGTTACTGCTGGCAATGCATCTACCTTGAATGACGGTGCCGCTGCAGTGCTTTTGGCAAGTTCCGAGGCAGTCAAGGAGCACGGATGCAAACCTCAAGCCAAGATAGTTGCGTTTGCTGACGCAGCGACGAATCCACTCGACTTTGCCCTTGCACCTCCTATGGTTGTGATCAAGGTACATAATTCACTGTTTTACTACTGTGTGAGGCAGTATAATAAGGAACATTTTCCTATTGAGTTTTTGTTGTATTGAATAATGAAGAAATTTCGAAGTAGAGGTTGTTCTGTTTTTCACTGCGTGATGCAGTTTTGATTTGTTACGGGATTATACAACTCATTACTTTCATTATGTGTTTAGTTGCTTACAAAGCAGTGGTTTGAAGATGACCGAAATCGATCATTGGGAAGTGAACGAAGCGTTTTCTGTTGTGCCTTTGGCATTCATCAAACAAGTAGGGTGTGACGAGGAGAAGGTGAACCCGCATGGAGGAGCAGTTTCAATCGGTCATCCCATCGGGTGAGCAACCTTTTTCTATGCGCTGTCCACTTCGATTAGCGTCTCAAGTCGAGTCTTTCCATCGCACACCACGGCAGCAAAGTTTCGCTGTTCAGAATGTCCGGCGCTCGCCTTATCACACATCTCGTGCATGTGTTGAAACCAGGTCAGAAAGGCTTGGCTGCCATTTGCAATGGAGGAGGCGGTGCTAGTGGAATGATTATAGAGAAGCTGTGAAGTTTTAGTTGCTATTAGTCGTCATGTTAGTTGTTTTACTTGAATCGTACTCGCATTTGAACGATTTATATGATTTATATTAAAATAGA